GGTTTCCTGCTTGAGCAGGGGGTTGGACTAGAAGACCTCCGAGGCCCCTTCCAATAGGATAAGGTTCTGTTAATTCTGTGTCTCAGATTCATGCCCACATCACCTTCTGGATTTATCTCGCTCTTGGGCCCTATCTAGAAGCAACCTTAGGATTCCTCTAACCTCGCATCCTCCAATAGCTACCTGAGAGGCAGGCCTTCCATTTTCTAAACGGTTATCGCAGCCACGTAACTTTTTATAGAACGGGGCATCCAGGGTGTCAGAAAGAACCGTTTCCGGGAAGAAGATGAAAATGACAGAAATGATTCCTTCTCTCTTTCAGGAACGGGGCGATGCTCTAACCGGATGCCTGGGTCCTCGGAGCCACCTCTGTCTCTGCCCCCCTTGTTCCGGATGGAATCTGGCCGCTGACGGTGTGGGAGCACCCCTGCCGCACCTTCCGAGCACCGCTGGGGGGGGGGGCAGCCTTGCACCCCCTCCTCCCTGACACCCCCCCTTCCCCACCTGCCTGGAATGCTGTATGTGCCTTGCTCTGCCTCTCGCAGGACAGTGCCCCGTGGCATTGGGGCGACCCACTGAAGCAGGTACCACCCTTTCCCCTCCTGCTGCTGCTGCTCGGGGCTCCCTCGAGGCGTTGGGGGGGCAGAGGTGAACTCGTTCGTACATTGAGCCCAAGTTGTTACGTTGTTGTGTGAGACATTTGATAGAGGTGGCGGCTTTCCTGACCCCGGAGCCCATCCTATGGAGGTGAGGGGGGGCTGTTGTTGTCTTTTTTTTATGCAGGTAGTCCTCGACTTACGACCACAACTGAGGGCAAGGTTTCTGGTTGAACGAGACAATTCTTGACCGAGTTTTGCCCCGTTTTTATGCCCTTCCTTGTCACGGTTGTTAAGCGAATCACTTGAGTTCTGAGGTTAGTAACAGGGTTGTGAAGTGAGCCTGGCTTCCCCGTTGTCAGAAGGTCCCAAAAGGGGATCAGGCGGTCCCCTGGGACGCCGCTGCAGCCGTCATAGATATGAAGCAGATCACACCAGGATGCCGCCGTGGTCGGAATGATGAAAAGCGGCCCTAAGTCGCTTTTTTCCAGGGCCGTAAGTTCGAACGGTCACTAAAGGAATTGTCGTAAGTGGAGGACTACCTGCATCCCATCACGACAGGTTTCGTCAGGGAACTTCTCTGGATCTTCCTTGTGAAAGTGGAATGTCAGGGAGCTTCTTAAGCCATGAACTGACCCTGCTCTACCTGCAGCCCCTGTGCATCCCTGGGTCACCCTGCCTGGTCCCTGGGCGGCCCTGAAGGGTCAGCAGAGGCACCCCGACTCCAGAGGCAGTGCGCCAGCGCAACCAGTGATGTGCTCAGCGAAAGGAGGCTGCAATCCTGTCGTTGCGGCTTTTTTTCTGGGCTCTCGGGATTTGAAAGTCATCCGGGTGCAAAATGCCCCTTTCAGTTTTATTTCACTTGATTTAGCATCTGGTTTTGATTCCTGATCCAAACTCTGCATATTATTATTGCTTTCTCCCTTCTCTTCCCATTTCATGCTTTAGATTTTAAAACTGCCCTGGAACTTTTCTCTTCAGCTGCATGGCCTAAAGTTTCTCTAAATGTATTTTATTTTATTTATTTTTATTTATTTATTTGTCAAAAGCTTACAATACAACAGAAACAAGAATAAACGTAAGTTTAAATAGAAGAAATAGGAACTAATAAATGGGGACAATAGGACAGGGACGGTATGCACGATGGTGCGCTTATGCACGCCCCTTACAGGCCTTTTAGGAATGGGGTGAGGTCGATAGTGGTTAGTTTGAGATTAAAGGAGTGGCGGGTTAGAGGATGTAACAGCAGAGTCAGGCACTGACCACTCTGTCGCTGAAATTATACTTCCTGCAATCGAGTTTGGAGGGGTTTACATTTAGTTTATATCTGTTGTGTGTTCTTGTGTTGTTGTGGTATGTATGTTCGAGAACCGTAAAGCCTACAAACTTGAAATTTGGCACGTATGTTCCTCTTGGCTTCTAGGTGCTCACTAAGAAAGGATTTTTCAAAATTACCA